TTATGTTGTGCAAAAGTTTTATTGAGTAGCTATAATGTTCGCGACGCATCTGAGGCTAATAAAATGCGCATGTCATGATAAAGTGCCAAACAAGACGAATTTCGGTAAGGATCACTCGAAATCCAGATTATCATCGAAGAGGCTAGCGCGATTGTTGATCTTGATTTTGGGAGCCTTTGGTGGGTAGTCGGCATCGGCAGTGAGCTGAAAAAGAATGCCAAGAATTATATTTTGGATCAAAGGAAAGTTCTAGTACTGACAATCCTGACGTCCATTGAAAGACCGCCGTCAGCGAATTTCTTTGCTGCAGCGGCGAAGTTGCCAGCGAAATCGGCTAAAAAGAAAATTCATCAATGCCAAAACGAATTGTGGTTTCCCTTACATTCGAGCAGATTATAGGCCTCAGGCCATTTCTTAGCGACGTCGTTCTTGACTGTTGTGGGTGCCTTATCGTAAGCTGTCTTGAAGTCAGAAATGACTCTGGCAATTTGGTTCGCAACTTGCGCACGAGGTGCGGAAACTGCGGCAAAGATTCTCTTCCACCACTAAAAAATTCTCGTCGTGATATTCAATTGAGATACATTAGAGTTTGTCTAAACCAACCTTTTGGAAAACATCCCTGGTAGTTGGGCTGACTTCGCTCAGATTATCCATGAGCAAATCCATAGCATCGTCAACATTTTTGGCAAGTTCTGGTGTTCTGAAAGAGGATCGCAATTAGACAAGATTGTGAAGGACTGTTACCCAGTACTTTTTGACGTAAGCGATGATTGCATCTGGATCGTTAGGGATGTCTACACGACCTGTCTCGATGTCATTCATACCGGATACGAGCTTATTTTTGGTGGAATCGGAGAGCTGAAATTCAGATTATTACAGTAAAGCTCTGGCCTGAAGCTTGCCTGTGCCAGCGCCGTGCTAGCATCATCGATCGATCGCATACACGTAGGTGCTGGCACGGCGCTAGCACGCAGACCAACTGACGCGGCCTAAAGTATAGACAACTTACACCGCGGAAAAGCAGTTTGATCTCTTTGGGCACATAGTCTGAAAAATGAACTATGATCGTCATTCACTGGTAATAGCCCAAACCTCTGTAATCGTTGAGAATTGAGATGTAGTAGTCCAGTGCTGCGCGAGTGAATGCAGTCCTAGTGTTGAGAAGTGGATCCAGAGAGATTTCGCGATCAACTGGGTCTTGGATGCGATGCGATCTTGGAATCGCAGCGACGAGCGATAAAGCCAAGGCAAAGCAAAGCATGGAGAACCTCATTGTTATGTTATCTACAATGAAAGAAAGCTAATAAGTAAAACTAGGTACTAGAATTGTAAAGAGGTGATGAAGATGAATGGGCTATAGTAAGTGATATGATGGTCCTTTTATATCACTTATTGTTTATAGCTTTATGCTAAACTGTTCGCCCAGTTACATACATAAATAGTATGAATTAGGTATGCAAAGTGGTAAACTGTTAATATTCGATTATATTATTGTAATGCGGAAATGGCGTCATACTTTCTATGACCGGTGAAAAAGGTACTGTTCCCTGCTTTAACAAGTTTTCCTTGAATTAGCTTTGAGAGCGCTCAAGTTTTTACCCATTCTATTTATATGAAGTCTTCGTTGTTCAAATGTAGTTGAACCAGCCGTACTTTACGATATTTTTTAGTTGGGTAAACATAAGACAACAGCTTACAAATAGTCCTCTGGACTTGAGCTTTTCTTGCGTACAAGTATATTTTTTGCATGCATTTACTCACAATGTACCAATCCATTTTCACTTAGGTTTTCGTTTAGAAATACTTGAATTGATTTTTTGAGCTCTATGTACAAATAAGCCATGTAAGAAGTTAGTTTAGGTAAATAATTTGGAAAGCTTACCTGAAAGTTGCAGACTTTTCAACATATCCTATGTTGGACCAAATGTTTCTGACGCACCCCACAAACTTTCGCTAGAAATAAATATGATTTTTCAATGTATCATGCTTGGTAAGACCATCTTAATGCCTATCATGTCCTTTTTTTATGATTTCCAGCAATCTAGGCTCATAAGCTTATGGAAGGATTTTCTGAAAGTAAAGTTTAGTAAAGTTAAATGGCTAAGCCACGATATCCTCGTTTTCGCACATCTTATCTGGCTTGTTTTCTTTCTATTGTGAAGAGTGAGCATGTGCTGTAAATCCTGAAACTTATTTGCCACGCTGTTATATGGTCTCACGAGCAGAGATACCTATGAAATACTTCTGCAAGCCCTACCGTTTCCTTGGAATTTTTTTGAGGAGCACAAAAGTGATGCTATCGTCAACATAGTTGTGGACTATATATTATGTTATCATCTTGAAAATTTGCTTCTTGATATATGCATCTGTACGATCAAAAAAACTTCGTGTAAATGTTTTTTCCTCACGGTTCTGCTCCTAGATATTGGCTGTAATATTGTGTTTGATCACTTCCGTCAAAAGTAACCAACATTCAATTTCAAATGATTTTGGTTTGTTTTTCTACTAATTTGAACATCCGTTTCAGTTTCTTCATCGCTGCCTTTCAAAATGGTAATTTGAGCACAATGAAAGCCCAGTACCAGACTCGGCAAGTACACTTTCAAGTTTTTTTTTCATCTTGCGAAGTTGCTAGCACTTCTGTCAAGTTGTTGTGCTTTTCTTTTGCAAATCCAATCCATGCAGCATTTTAGCGATGGAACGTTGAGAGTGATTCGGCCGCTAATCTTTGTTCGAGAACGGGCTCTGCGCGAGTTTGCCGATTCTCGAGGTTTGCCAGTTGTCGCTGAAAATTGTCCAGCGTGCTTTAATCAAGCAACGGAAAGACACAGGATCAAACAGGTACGAGAAAAGAAACTATAAGGTCGGCTAAAAATAGTGTCTCATG